TGCTTGATCATGATAACTTTTTGACTCCTGAAGATCGCCCGTACAGTGGAATCTGTAACTAACGGTACGCCGGGTACGGGAGTCCGTGGTACCGGAGGATTTTCAATCGATCAGTCAGCCGCGCTTGGCGATGCGCATCGATTCCGCGCGTGGGGCTTCAGTTGGATCGTGGCCCTCGTTCAAATCGAAGACCTTCTACAACATCTCTTGAACATTCCGCGTCCAGCTAAATCTTTCACAACCAGAATCAAGGTGGGATGACAAGGCCATCTTCTTCATTTTCATAGAGAAAAGGCGAGACACTGGTTGGATAGATGTGCTGTGTCTCAAGTATTTAGGCACAGCACTGCATAGCTATCGACACAGCAGCTGAAATCCTGCTTCGAACTTCCAAATCGACTTTTATGGATTAATACCGGGGTACTATATCTTCACTAACAAATCTTGCGCATGAGCATGGAACTAGACGTTGCTGAAGATTACGAGGCTGTGGTATCGACGCCCAGGTAGACGCGCAGAGAAGAGAAAGCACCTACTGTGACAGCAATATGCCACGGAACTCAGCTGATGAATGTACCTAGTGCAAGGAGCTCCGAAATTGATTACGGTTCATGACTTGGAAAGAACCCACGGCGAGCCACAGCAATACAATAATCGCCTCATTATCATACTCAGAAGAACAAAGCTAGCAATGCACGCGTTTTAGGGATTCATAATAGTAGCGACAAGTCTTCCATGCAGTTCCTGGCACGTGATGGGAAAAGGACATGTTTTAACTCCTCGCCATACTCCAAGATACGACCAGCTCCTCGAGAAGATCCAAGGTAACAAGGGGCGAAGGTAGGCGCAAGGCCAAAGGCAATGCGTAGTATTGCAACGAAAAAAAAAGACCGTTCTCCATACTCCGGTACAATGATAAAGCAAGCAAATCGCACAAGGGGGAATCATCGCTGTATGCTGCAAAGAGAGCCACACCCACTGGGCATGATAGCCCTGGACACCCCGCGCCAGTACCCATGCCCGTGCGTTAATGAAGCCAAATACAACCCAAACGACTCAACACCTTGCCATGATTGAAAGGACAGGATATAGTGGCAACAATAAATGAAGACCGAACATGCAAACGCTCCCCGATGAGCTCTCTCAACTCCTCAATCATGACTCATAATGGCATAACAAATGTCTGTTGGTGTCTCTAGCGCCCCATCATGTAAGTAGAGTAGCCTGAGAAGCCGTTCCCAGCACCACTGGACGCAAGAGGCTGGCGCATAGCACCTGCCATGTCGTTGTGACCCATGCCAAAACCACCATTAGAGTACATGCCAAAGCCAGAGCTGTTGTTTGAGTGCACTGTGGTGGACAAGCCCGGAGGTACTGACAAGCCAGGCGGTGGGCCGGTAGCCGTGGAAAAGCCAGGCGGGCCTGCAGCACTGCTACCGAACCCCGAAAGAGGCGTGGAAGGGGCAATGGCAGACTGCGGGCCCATGACGGAATTCTGGCCACTACGTACGCCCAAGGGATTCTTAGAGAAGCTCAGTCGGATGCCGCCCTTGACGCTGTTGTGGAGCATATATCCATAGAGCTCGTTCAGAGCCTTGGTAGCAAAGGATGTGTCTTCGAATTCGACAAAACACATGGGTCCATTCTGCTTGGTGCGGAAACAGAGTCGCTTGTACCCACGTTGCTTGGAAAAGACAGCTTTGAGCTCATCTTCTGACGTGTCCATGGGAAGGTTACCCACGTAGAGAGTGTTGCATGGTGGGTTTTGATCAGCGGGATTTACTGGGGGGTAAGTGGGCCGCGCGAAATGCTGCGTATACTGCTGGTAGCCTGTATTGGGTCCGCTGCTCAGGGCGGAGGGAATGCTATGTGGTGACAAGGCTGACAAGGCTGGGCCGGGCGACTGCATGTTGGATCCAGATCGCGGAGAAGCAAAGTTGGATAGAGGCGGGGACGTGGCATTCGTCACGCCGTTTGTGTTTAGAGAAAGAGATCCGAAGCGCTGGATGGGAATGGAAGGGGTATGGGGGTTGGTAGCGCGACGCTGCATGCTGGAGTGCATTGGCGGGCCACCCGTGGCATATCCAATTGACTCGTTAAGCAGACCATCGTCATCGTCGGCGTCTTCATTGATGACTGACTTGCCCAGGTTGCGGCTCGTGAAGGAGGCGTTGACGGGGGATGTCGGCGAGAAAAGGTTGGTGACCGGGAACTCTCCGTTGCCAAGACCTGGGGTCCCGTTGGGTGGGGACATGTTCTCCATGTTTTGGAAGGTGCCGTTGTATCGCGATGACTGCCGGGCGTTGATTGTCGCGCCGGTCATGGCGCTTGTGCCAGACGGTTGTCGCGCAGGCGTGCTGTCGACTGTGTTGCGGCGCGAGCCGATTGCGCCAGGCGATGCGTCCTGCGTTAGCTCGACGACCAGCGTCGCATCGTTGGTTGCATTGCGCTTTCCGTCGAGGAGGTGACGCGCTTCTTTTGCGCCGTCGAGCGTCTGGAAATGCGCAATGGCAGATGCGAAACCCTTATCGTCGGCATGTCTGGACGGTGGCAGCATCTCGCAGTCGATCAGGTCCTTGGCGAACAGCAGGATGTTGCGCACGGCGTCGCGATCGCTGCTGCTCGGGAGTTTGCGCAACAGGATGGAGTAGCGCGCGTGGTTCGCGGGGCTCTTGTCGAGGGGCCTGCGCTCTCCGACGGCTCCCGGCATGGCGTACATGTGCGGTGCGAAGACGTCGGCCGTCATGGTGTTGTGCGATGCAAAGGGCTTGGGCGGCGACGACGAGGTGGAGCTACTGTGGGAGCCGTGAGAGCCGTGGGGGAAGGGGCTGTTGGACAGGTTCGAGGGGCTTGTGCTGCTGGGACTCGGCCGGGCGGCCATGGCGGCCTTTGTCTTGACGGCGGTGCGGCGGGTGTGGCTGCGACAAAGGACGCGGCGGCGCAGAAGAATTGCGCGTCGGCGGCGGTCAAGATGGCGACGATGGTGAGGATGGCGGCAGTGATGGTGTTGGCGACGGCGGCAGCGGCAGCGGGTCCTGGGCAGGTGGTGGGTGTCGGGGGCAGTGGGAGTGGCAGGCAGGGCACGGCGGTCGAGGGCGTGAGCGTGGGCGGGCGGCGGGCCTGGGCGATGCGCGCTGTCGAGGCTCTGGCACACGCAAGCGTCAAGCCAATGGGCGGCAGGGCAGGAATCGCAGCCAGCGGGGGATGCAATGCAGCAGAGGCGGAAGGGCGATAGCGGCAGCCTAGCACTTCATCATTCAAGGCAGAGGCAGTGGGCAGGCGCAGGCAATGGGGCGGCTGTGGGAGGGGAGGAGAGGCGGCAGAAGTGCAAGTGAAACCCTCAGGATAGCGTTGACGGGGGCGCGACTGCCCACTTGGTGATGCGCCCAGGGAAGGCGCGTCGGAGCTAATTTGATTACTGTGCGAGTCCTGGATTCGCCCGTCACACAGGTACCCCATCTCGACCACTCGACGACGCGCTGCGCTACACCAGCCTGCTCGATTCCCACAGCGAGACTCGTCGCGTTGGGCTGCTTGCCGTCTTGTTGGCCCTCCGGCTCTTAGCGGCCTCGAGTATAGCCAGGGCTGACTTTAGCCTCTCCCCCATCGTCGTCGCGGCCTGGGCGAGAGAGATCGGCCCCAAGATGCACCGCTTGATCCACGGAACTATCGTTCATCCACGGGCCCCTATCTGCGGGCCAGCAACCAAGACACGCTGACATTGCACGTCCGGTGTGCTGAGCCCAACCCATCGTCACCCGTCCAAGCTGCTTATCCGTCCCATCGTCTATCAGGCAGACATGCACCATCGGCCTTTTCTGCCAATCACTGTGCCTTGCGCCTAGACTCGGCATGCCGGTACACACCCCGGGCCAAAAGCAAGTTTCGTCGAGTACAGTCAGTCTGTCCTCATCTACGCCCTCTATGGCACATGCACAGCGCCGCTGCCCAAGGGTCTGGAGAAACCCATTCTGTGCACCTGTGAGAGGCGCGAAGGCGTTCATTCGCTCATTGCTTCGGCCATGTACCATGCTTCTTTAATGCCTTTGTCCAATCATAGGTGTGCTCACCCGTCTTTTTCCTACGCTATCCTTCTGCCCCTCATTCCCTAGCCCCACGAGACATATCAATGGGTCAAGATCGATTGTCATGTAATTCCACACAAATTTGTTGAAGTAATCTGTGGCTTCGGTCTAATGGCTGTCGCAACGCAAGGCAGAAAGAGTCCAGTATCGCGTGTTGTGGGGAACGTTCCAAGGCCTCGATTAACGCTCGACTAGACTATCGCAGCGATTGGCCTAACTGCCTGGGTCCGCGCAACCTGGAACGTACATAGGAACAAGCTCCAACTGTGAACGCCGTTAGGAATCTCACCTCTCGGATCGTGGCTAGGATACGCTAAACTCCGGTTGTAGAAATGGTCGTTTCTGAAGCAACAGTTCGCATTCGCTTAGAACGGCATGCCTCATGGTAGGTTGAGTAGCCAATCATCACTGCGTAGACGACGCCACTATTGCCATACGTCACCGTCTTGCGGCCGTAAGTCATATAACGACCGCACCGGATCAATCTGCTCAACTCGTTTTGGGTGTTAACACAACCGAAAGCGAGAATACAATACTGGAAACGCTGCATTTTACTGCAGGCATCCACAAAGGGGCATTATTGCGATACGTACGTCAGACTGTGTGATAGTACTCGACATAGTATAAAGGTAAGCACAACACCACGATGAAAAATCATCATCTTCTTGAATTCCAGCACTACAGACACAACCTGAACGCTTCAAACACTGAACTCAAACTCCTCTCACCATGTGTTGCAGAAAGAATCGCCAGAGATACTTCGAACAACAAGCGCTGTATTCGCCACCTACGCGAGGCTGTTGTGGACAACGTCGAGCACGTCTTCACACAAGCGCCCAAAACACTTGCAACTTCTCCGAACGACCTACCATGGTAAGCTTACAATGCACAAGCTGCACGAAACAACTGACTGACATGACCAAGGCTGGCCTCCTTGCCATCAGTCTCGGCCTTGGTGCCGAGAAGCTGGGACGTACCATTTCCGAGAAAAGACTCGAGCGCAAGGAGAAGAAGGCTATTGCTGTATGTTTCGATCCTGAAACGTTTGTCATGATGTCAGTTGACCGGCTCTTATAGCAACATGAAGCAGTTTATGGCTCTTCATCATCGGCGCCACCGCCGCCAATCACAACTCGAGAGCAGAATAGCAGGACGGAAAAGAAACGCGAGGAAGCTCAGCGCGCACTGGATGAAGCTCGTCGAGAGCCACCAAGTGCGCCACAGTACGAAAGGAGACGTCGAAGTATGGAGACAGAGAGGGTCAGTAGTGAGGAACCGCCGCCGAGTTACGATGATGCAGTACGTCACGATGGAAAGCGTTCTTGAATTGTCCATATCTGTAGTGGACATGTATTCTATACGATACCGATGTAAATGTGGGTTGGCATGATGATTCCAAGGTTCATCCTATTTTTTAACTATCTTTAATTAGCGAGAACTATCCTGTTGTTCATGAGATCAACGCAGCTCTTGTCACCTGAAAAGTCTTGCTAACAAGTTCGGAAGCGTCAGTAGATTTTAGTGATCATATCGTACACCAGGGAGTCAAGGAGGGTCACGATGCTCATTCGTGCCAAGACACTAGTGCACGTAGCGCGTCACTAGAATTTCCTGCGAGCTCCTCATTTCTCTGCATTCCAACCTACCACACCCACCACTAAACTTCTTTACGTGTACACGACTTCCCTTCTTGTTCCTTTCATCACATACCTGCGCCAATGCGGTAGCCTCCCACATCTTCAACATGCCTCCTCGGTTACGGTGTCAAAATTTCTCAACGCCGGCCACCCCATCGCAGGCCACTCAGTGCTTAGCTGCAAGGCCACAGGTCGCCTGGAGCCCATCACGGCATTCGCGACATTTCTCACAGACACCATGTCCACAAATCACATTACGGCGGCGGAAATTTTATGAGTGGCTCAATGGGCCGGGTCGACAGCTCAAGGAACCTATACCCGACTCCACAAACTACCTAGGAGCTTACGACAAGTACGGCAACCTGGTACGCGCTGGCCCTGGATGGCGGAGAGATGGGGGTGCGAAGGCTGCTGCCTCGACTGAGGCAGAGCAAGCTGGAGCCGAGGCCAAGGCAGAGGAGGCGACAGAAAAGGCCACACCTGCAGGACAGGAGAGCCTGGATGCACTAGATGCTGCCATTCAGTCTGGTGCAGCTGAGGAGAAGGATACCAAGAAGCCGAAAGAAGCGGACGACGACAGCAAGCTCCCGCCTGAGACGGCAGAGGACTTGCGGCCCTTTCCCCTCAATCAGTGGTTCCGCAGCCAGCCAGTATTGAGCGAAGACCTCCGGGAAGCAATCTGGCGGAGAGTCAAGAAAGATGGGGCGACAGTATCGCTCGCCAGTGTCGAGTTCGGCGTCAGCAATGAACGCGTCGGCGCTGTTGTGCGACTGAAGCAAATGGAGAAAGAGTGGATAGCGCAGGTATGTTCTCCCATTTTCATCAATTCCCCCACAACACGACATGATGAGCTTCTTAAAAATCGATTAGTCTTTAAGACATCCACATGGTTACAAAACTTAAGTCATGCTCTTGCTGAACGTCGTCGGCTTGTTCTTTGAAACAACGGAAACACACTGTATTACAATTGCTAATCCAATTTGTGCAGGGCAAAACACTCGCGCTACCTTACTCCAAGGCGGTTCTTTCCATGCTTCCAACAACCCCACACATCGATACCTCGCTCCCTGGGAACAAAAACAAACGTCCTATCACGCACGAGCCCATCAACGACCTCGCGGTACATCCCGCGACACGCCAGCAGCTCTTTGTGCCTGTTGCTGAGTCTCGGCAATTCACGCGTGAAGATGCTGGCAAGGCTTTTGACAACACGCTGTTGCCAGCCGACGCACGCATCCCTCATCCAGAACTGGTGCAGGCTGAGCGTGAATTGCAGTCTGGACTTTCGTTCGAAGAGCGCAAGAAGCTTGCCGAGCAGCGATTTGAACAAGAGCAAGCAAAGAAGAGGCAAGAAGAGAAGCGCAAGGAAGAGGAGCTGAGGGCCATGAAAGTGGTGCCGCAGCGGAGGTGGGATTTCGTCTTCAAGGACGTCAGCGTAGAGGCTGCAGGCAGAGACGGCAGAGGCGCCGCGGCTGCTGGATGGCGGTATGGTGTGCCGCACCAGGACCGCAAACGAGGCATCCCGAAGATCCCTACGCGGGTTGAAGCCTAAATTTATGTATAATGCTGTATATATAATACATGACGATCTGACGCTGGCCTTCACCGGTACTGCATCTTCTGGCCACCTCGCTTCTCCATCTTGGCCTGTCTCTTGCTTGCTTGCGGCTGGGGCACACCGGCTGCATCCTGGTATCCACCCCTCATGCCCGTATAGGTGGTGTAAGCGGAATAGGCACTGTAGACGGGGATCACAATCCACAGGAGCCAGGCGTAGTCTCCCACAATGGCAGCCATGACAATGCAGCCATACGTCCAATAGACGACATCCCACATGTACTCAGTCAGTCCCTTGGCATCGAGGTCTTCGCCAGGTCGCTTGACGGCGCCATCGGCATCAAGGGTAGGGCGAGAGAGGCGTTCGAAGTACAGCTGGATGAGCAGTTGCGGAGCCGAGAGGAGTAGATAGACGATCAATGATTTGCGTGACAGTGAGGCGCGGAAGACGAGGGCACGTAGGAGCCACCAGAGGCCGTGGACGGCGAGGGTGATGTAGAGGGTCTGGTTGAGGCGCTGGGCATTGGAAGCCGCGAGCGTCTTGGTGGCTTTCTACGGGGGCTGTCAGTGACGGGTGCGTGGTAGGGGACGGCGGGCGGGCGGGCGTACCTTGGCCATGGTGAAGGTGCGATGTGGCTGTGACTGGCTGGCCGTGTGCAGAGAAACGTCGTGCGTCTCTAGGCGGGACATTGTTTTGTTACATGTCTTGGCACTCGTAGCGCGTAAACCTACACCTTGACCGCGTCCACCCGCCTGCCCGCAACATCACCACCGCCGCCGCTCCAGCCAACGCCGCCCCGACTATGAGCGCATTACCTTGAGTCTCCGCCCTGTCTCCGCCGCCGCCCAGCAAGCATGTCAGCACCCCCAGGCGTAAATGCCCAGCTGCGCCAGATCGTATACTACCACCTCGACAACGGCTTCGCTGAAAACGCCCTGTTCTTTGCCGGCCGCCTGCACGCCCTCGACCCCCGCAGCCACGATGCCGCGCACCTACTTGCCCTGTGCAACCTCCGTCTGGGGAGATACAAGCAAGCCCTGGACGATGCGCGGGCCAAGGGCAACCACACCCAGCATCTAGGATGCGCTTACGTCTTTGCCCAGGCCTGTCTCGCCCTCGGCCGCTACGAGCAGGGAGCCCAGGCGCTGGAGAAGATGCGCAGCTCCTGGGCAGGGCGCAACCACTGGAGTGAGTATTTGTAGGAGTAAACACTGGTGACTTGTATTGACACTCGTCACAGACAAGCATTCCGAGACCTCACGACGCCATGTGCCCGACGCCGCCGCCTGCTACTGCATGCTGGGAAAGCTGTACGCAGCCCACGGCGACTCCAAAAAGGCCATTGAACACTTTGTCGCCGCGCTCAAGATCAACTCCTTCATGTGGGATGCCTTCACCGGTCTCTGCGATATTGGCGCCGTCGTCCGCCCTCACAACATCTTCAAAATCACGCCCGACATGCTCCCTCCCGCCTCCTCATACAACCTTCAGCCCAGAATGAATGGCCGCAGCGCGCAGCCGCCTTCATACAACGACGTCGAAAACCCCTTTGTCAACGGCCAAAGCATGCACGACGAGCACGCCATGATGGGCGAGGCTGGCGGCCCAGTCCAAATGCGACCCATAACATCAAGAGCCCGTACCAAGACGAACCCCGAGAGTGATCAGACGGACATTCCGCGGCCCGTGTACCAGAACGGACATAAGAGAACCGTATCTGGCCATTCTCTGCAGCAGCCACAGCCTCACTCGCAAGCACCGCAGCAACCTCACTCCCAATCACAACAGCAATCGCAACCGTTCGACCCTACAGCAGCTCCCCCACGGCGCAGTGTACGGCTGCTGAACTCCATCACTCAGATTCGGCCTTCAAGTAGCAGACCAGGCGGCACATCAAGCAGAGATCTCGAGTCGAAAGAGCGGCGCGAGCTACGGAAAGCAAGGGCGGCAGCTCCCAAGCCACGCTCAGGGACAGGCTCGACTGTGGGCAGAGTTGTTAGTGGCAACAGGAAACCGCATGTCGATAATTCCGAGCCCACAAAGCCGGAGAGACCACGGAGCGTGGCGGAGACGACTGTCGCACCGCCCCCAAGAATGGGTCCGCCCGCAGATACTTCACGGGACCGAGATGTCTTGAGCTGGCTACTGGACCTGCTCCTCAAGATAGCTTCTGGATACAGGCATCTGAGTCGCTATGATGCATCAAAGGCACTTGAGGCATTTGGACTCGTGCCCAAGTCACAGCGGGAAACACCTTGGGTCCTGGCGCAGATCGGCAAGGCCCACTATGAGCGCACCCATTACACAGACGCAGCCGTCACGTTTCGGAAGATACGAGAACTGGCACCTGCTTCCTCAGAGCATATGGAAGTGTATTCCAATACGCTCTGGCAGCTCAGGGACGAGGTGGCCTTGGGTCATCTTGCACACACGCTGATGGACCAAGATCGTCTCTCTCCACAAGCTTGGTGTGCACTGGGTAATGCAAGCTCTATAAACGGGCAGCATGATGAAGCCGTCAAATGCTTCGCTCGAGCTACCCAGTTGGATCCAAAGTTCGCCTATGCTTTCACCCTCCAAGGTCATGAGCATGTCGCAAATGAGGAGTTTGATAAAGCCATGGCGGCTTATCGCAACGCCATCAGTGCCGATAACAGACATTACAACGGTTGGTACGGTCTTGGGAACGTCTACGAGCGTCTGGGCAAGTACGAAGTGGCTGAGAAGCACTATCGGGCAGCGGCGGAGATCAACCAGAACAACGCCATGCTCCTTGTTCGGATAGGCTTGGTGAGTAATCATTGCCCTTATTTGTCTGTCGAATACTAACATGAGTACGCAGGTTCTGGACCGCATGAAGAAGACTGAGCCCGCATTGCTGCAGTTCGAAAACGCGATCAAGATCGAACCACGCTCCGTCATGGCACGCTTCCGCAAATCGCAAGTCCTGCTGAAGTTGAACGCGCCGCAAGAGGCCCTACACGAGCTTCTCTACCTGAAAGACGCTGCTCCAGACGACCCCAACATACATTTCCTGCTAGGTAGGTGTTACAAGAAGTTGCGAGACCGCGCGAGCGCCATCCGCCACCTCACGATAGCCATGAATCTGGACCCGAAGAGCCACGGCGTCATCAAGGAAGTCATGGAAAGTATCGATCAAGAAGACGACGGCGCATGGAGCAGCGAAGACGAACATTAACGTTGCTGCGCCTGTGGCCTTTTTGAACAAAACCCTTTGTCACGAACCGCGTAACTCAATACCCGAAATGACTTCTTCATCCCTACGACAACGCAGCAATCATCTTCATCTTCATCAGCCTTGTCTTTTAGCGCATACCCCTTTCTCAATTTCCACGTTTGCCTTTTTCTTCTCTTTCTCTATACCCATCATCATGGACTTGGACTTTGCATCATGGGCGCATTGGGGGAGGGGCGTAGCAAAAACGCAGCCATAACTTGACGGCTTTTGGCATAATCATGCATTTTGGAGAGGCGTTGCGGTGCTTCATTTTGCTGGCATTGACGCTGCCCAGTTGGGCTGGCGCAGCGAAGGGGATTACATTGGCGTAGTTTGTAACGACGACGACTACGAATGACCAATACCCTGGATGACCACTACTGCTTTTTGCGCAGACTCATCGTCTAGTCTTTTGTGACAAAAGGCAAGATGGAGATTTGCGACTTGTACCATATATCAAAATGCATTGGGATATCCTTACCTCTACACACATGTTCATTCATCTCAAGATTTCGCACCAACCCCCCTTTTTTCCCTGTTTCTTCACTCCACTCTACTTCAACACAGCAACCAATCTCCCACCACTGACTTCCCGCCGCCTCATCCGATCTAACCCCGCATTCACGCCCTCCAACCCCTCCACCGTACCCACAACATCCGGCGGTACCAACATCCCTTTGGCGAGCAGACGTTCGCACCACGCACTAAGCGCCTCGCCCACTTGCGGCACTTCGTGGTATAGCTTGATAGGCACACTGTGCAGCGCAACGTCTTTCGGTACGTTCTCCTTCGGCAGACCCGTCAAGCCCACGAGATGAGATCGCTGCGCCGTAGAAACGGGGGTATGCGGTGTCGATGGCGGAGTCGGCAGTTTGGCTTGTGATGACGATGGAACAGTAGGATGTGCAAGAGCGCTCATCAAGTGCACCGCTGTTTCTCTACCCAGCGTGTCGAAGCCAAATCGCGCGCCTGTCTTCCCCGTATAGGCGCGGATTACTTCCACCGCTCTTCCTGGATCGTGGGCGTCGACGAGATAATCTGGTCGCGCTGCTTCCGAGGTCAGAAGTCTGTGACCGTGTTTTACGGCATCGACAACTGCTATGACTTTCACCCCTGCTAGCCGCGCTATTTGCATCGTGACGAACGCACAGACTGATCCTGCGCCCCAAATAACCAGATTATCTCCGGTCTTGATACGTTCTTTGGCGCCAATACTATGGAAACATTCTTGTCGTATATCACCCGGTATATCCTCCTGATCCAGACTCCGTACAATACCGAGAATGTCAGGCCCGTCCTCAATGTCGGAGAAATCGAGGCCGAGACATATTCCTAGTGTGAGGGCGGCGGAGACAAAAGCTACGCCTAGGATACTGCCCGAGTTCAGAGAGAGGTTGGGAGGCAGGCGGATGGTGTTGAAAGTGGATGCGATGCTGTAGTGTTGGTATGCGGCTTTGCGCGGGTCGCGGTAGTCGGTTGAAGGGACGAGGACGCGGTCGCCTTTTTTGATGCGAGACGAGGGTGTTGTTGGGGTGAGGAGGACTGTGCCGCTGTACTCGCGGCCGGAGATGTAGGGGAGGGTTGGGATGCCGAAGTTGTAGTCGCTGGAGGGATGTTAGTTGTTATGTGGGTGTGGTGTTGGGTGGGCGGTTCGTACGGTGCTTTCCAGTCGATCGGGTTGAGGCCTACAGCTTGCACTTTTACTAAGAGTTCGCTGTCGTGTTGGATGCTTGGGAGAGGGTGGTCTGCGGAGACTTCGTATGGCTGGCGTATCGCATGGAGTTTCAATGCTGGTTGTACCGTAGGAAGCGTATCTTCTTTGCCTTTTCGTTGGGCCTGTTCGATTGTTTTACGTCTTTTCGATACTGTATCTTTTGAAGACGCTGCTGTGATACTACGAGTTCGCTTGACTTGCAACATCATGAAGATTGAAATTCAGGTTGCTCAAGGTGTGTGCCGCTTGCGTTGGTGGCAGGTCGATTCTCCTTCAATGCAACTCCTCAACTGGCTTCTGATCGTCAGCTTTCGGGTTTCTGTTTGCGACCTCTCCGGGAATACGCATGTAGATTACTCAAGTAGGTTAGATGCGATCTGCCAGTCTACAACAACGACACCCTAGGTGCGCGAATAATTGTTGTCATTGTGGATTAAGATGGCATAATACGCATAGTCGGCATACTATCAATTTACCGCCTCAACTTACCGTCGCGTAGCGTAGATAGAAGGGCCTACATCGGAGACAAACATATAGTGATACCTCGGGGTTGACGTGATGACGCATCCCGCAGATACCTAAGCGATTGCGTTTGTGAGCGCTCAAAGCACATCATCCGACCTCCAGAACCACGACACTTCTTCCGCACGATACCATTCGATACTTTGCGAAACAAACAACCATTGATTCCTACCATGGCGAAGCGAAACCGAGAGAATGGTGTTGCGAATTCGAAGAATGCAAGGCGAAAGACTGATGCGACAGCGAAAGGCAAGAAGAAGCTGATCATCAATGCCTTCGTTGAGATGTGTAAGTTCACGTGACGCCCCCTCATAAAGCCAATGTACATGGGAGAGCAGCAAGTCGATCGTGCAACTTGCCATTAGCTAACAATTAACATCCAATAGGCAGTGGCCATCAGTCACCAGGCCTGTGGAGACATCCTGATGACCGTTCGCATGAGTTCAACAACATCGAGCACTGGGCAGAGCTTGCGAAGCTGCTTGAAAATGCCAAAATCCATGGTATCTTCGTAGCCGACGTGCTCGGTGGATATGATGTCTACAATGGCAATCTTGATGCTGCGAAAATCTCAGGCGCGCAATGGCCAGTCAATGAGCCTCTGGCCATTGTGAGCGCCATGGCAGCAGTCACCAAGAGCATCGGATTCGGCGTGACTGTCTCGACAACATACGAACAACCGTACCATCTTGCTCGGAGATTATCGACGGTCGATCATCTTTCGAAGGGAAGGTGAGGCATCTGTTATCCTTATCTGGCTCAGGGACTGACTTGATCTAGACTTGGTTGGAATGTGAGGCGATGTGCTTCTTCGATCGTTGCATGAATAATAACCTTTACAGATTGTGACCAGCTATCTTGATTCGGCTGCGCGTAACATGGGTATGAAGGAGCAACTGCCGGTTAGTGTTTCGTGTACCTCGGCTTGGCTTGGCTAGAGACTTTGCTGATACACTTCAGCATGACGAGCGCTATGCGCAGGCTGAGGAATATGTGAAGGTCATGTACAAGCTGCTAGAGTCTTCTTGGAGAGACGATGCAGTCGTACTGGACCGGAAGAGTGGCGTATACACGGTACCCGATCGGGTGCGCGAGATCAACCACGAGGGAAAGTACTTCAACGTGCCTGGCCCTCACATATGCCAGCCAAGCCCGCAACGTACGCCTCTCATCCTCCAGGCGGGTGCGTCGAAGGCAGGAAAAGCCTTTGCAGCACAAAATGCAGAAGCAATATTTGTCTCCGCCCATGTGCCCGAGGTCTGTGCGAAGAACATCGCAGAGATCCGACATATTGCCTCTTCGCAGTTCGGTCGGGAAGGGAAGAACATCAAGTTTCTTGCCCTTGTAACACCCATCATCGGTCAAACCGAAGAAGAGGCCCAGGCTAAGCTTGCAGATTACCGCAAATACGCGTCCTTGGAAGGAGCGTTGTCGCTGTTCTGTGGTTGGACTGGCATTGATCTCGGAAAATACGGAGACGATGAGGAATTGCGTCACGTCGAGAGCAACGCTGTGCGATCTACTGTCGAAGGCTACGCTCGGTTTTCTCCTGGAACCTCTAAATGGACGAAGCATACAGTCGCGGAGCACGTGAGCATCGGTGGAAACGGTCCCATTCTTGTTGGAACTCCATCCCAAGTTGCGGATGGGTTGCAAGTCTGGATTGACGAGGCCGACGTTGACGGTTTCAACATGGTGAGTCGTATCCCGATTATTGTGGTAGTAGTGACTCTGATGCACGAGCTAGGCGTACGCTGTCTTTCCACAGTCGTTTGTGGACATGATTGAGCTGTTACTTCCCGAACTCAAGAAGCGGGGTTTGTTCTGGGACGATTATGCTGTGCCTGGTGGCACTTATCGCGAAAACTTCTATGCGAAGAAGGGACAGAAAGGGCCGCTTGAGGAGCACGTGGCATCGACGTATCGGTGGAAGGCGGGAGTCGATGCTAAGGACCACGTCATTCCGGAGTGATGAGCAAATGCGATTAAGCAAGCTGAAATGTCGTGTATTTGAACAAAGTCAAAGGCTCCAAGAGGTTCGATACGTCCTAAGATCTGGTGTAAGTGACCGAGATGCCATATCAGTATGCGTCAGCTTGGAGATGTGCATTGTAACGCGATCTTGCTCTGAGTTGCATCCTGCCATAGAGAACGACACCGTCGATGTCTTCTTGGGCATCGCAAATTTGCCCTAGTTGCTGTCTCCCTCTAGAGCGCAAGGTCGCGTCAGTACAGGGGAGCGAGCACGACAACCACCGCGATTGCTGCGAGCCGATTTCGTCAGCAAGCGGAGAAAAGACGTGATTGCCCTTCTGCCCGACCGGCGGCTCTGCAGGCCGGGAAAAGATAGCGAATCTAACAGCGTCTTACGGCATCGGTGCTTGAGAACAAAGTTGGTGATAGCGAGGCAGCTTACCCTGGGGCTTTAAAGTCGTCATGGGTAGAGACGTGCGTCCGACGAGAAGTGATCATTCCGACAGCGAGGAACACCCACCGCTTACATAATGTCGCCAAGACCAGTCGCAGCAACCGCGACCAGTCTAACTGCTTCGGGGCAAGAGTCAACACCATCGCGACGCGTCGCACAGCTCGCAAAACATCTCGCGTCAGCAGAAGGCACCAAACAAGATGAATCTCACGCTGCCTTGCCAACTCCTTACCCCGTTTCGAAGCTGCAGTTGAGCCCAACGCAGTACATTGATCATGTACGACGGCTTCGCGTCGCTGTTATAGGTGCCGGTCTAGCTGGTATCAATGCAGGTATTCTTCTGCCGGCGAAAGTGCCGGGCATCGAATTGACCATCTTTGAGAAGAATTCCGATGTTGTAAGTGCACACAAGAGTTGTGGGAGAATCGCACTAACAAAGTGCAGAGTGGCACGTGGCTTGAGAACGTGTACCCCGGAGTACGATGCGACATTCCATCTCATGTGTATCAAGCGACATACTCGCCCAACACGCAATGGTCCGAAATCTTCGCGCAAGGCGCTGAGATACGTGACTATTGGCAGGCGCAGGCTAAGAAGCACGACGTCTACAAGTATGTCAGACTTCGGCACCGCGTCGACGAAGCGGAGTGGGATGATGCACACTCCAAATGGCGGGTGACGGTGCGTAGCCTCAAAGATGACACCACATCGACGGAGACCTTCGATTTCGTCATCACCGCCATTGGCCGGTTCAACTCTTGGAAGCTACCTGATTATCCAGGCTTGAACGACTACCAAGGCCATCTAAGACACACGTCGAACTGGGACGTTTCGTTCGATCCGACGGGCAAGAGAGTCGCTGTCATTGGGAACGGCGCAAGTGGTATTCAGGTCGTGCCAAATCTACAACCCATTGCAAAACACATCACTCACTTCGTTCGCAATCCAACATGGATCGCGACATCGTGGGCAGGCGATGAGCGGACTTTTGAGCCACAGCCATACTCGCAGGAACAGCGCAAGGCTCTGGAAGATCCTGGAATGTATCTGGCCTTCAGAAAAGATCTCGAAGATCGATACTGGAGACGATTTCGAGCCATGATCCGTGGATCGACTGAGAACCAAGGCATGCGAGAGCAGTTCATTGACGTCATGAAGAAGCGGGTAGCGCAAAAGCCCGAATTGCTCGATGGATTGATACCAGACTTCGCCCCGCATTGCAGACGACTCACACCGGGCCCTGGCTACTTGGAGTCTCTCACCGAAGCGAACGTGGAGCTCGTCAAGTCGCCTATCAAGCGTTTCACACCTTTGGGCATTGAAACGACCGATGGCAGGACTTTCGAATTTGATGCGATATTTTGCGCGACCGGTGCCAACACCGATCTCGTTCCACCGTTTTCGATCAAGGCGCGTGGAGAGGACCTCCACGAAGCATGGAAGCCCGGAGGTAAATGGGGCTTTCCATACACGTACTTAGGGTTGGCCACACCTGGTTTTCCCAACCTATTCTTCCTAGCCGGTCCGCATGCTACCGGCCCTTCGGGCACAGTGCCGCATGGTGTAGAGACGTCACTCACTTACTTCGCCAAAGTACTCCGCAAAGTCTCTTCACAAGGACTCAAGTCCCTAACACCATCGAAAGAGGCAACAGATGACTTTGTCGACTACTGTGACGCTTTCTTCCCGACCACAGTCTTGACCGACAAGTGTTCGTCTTGGAACAATGGCGGAATTCCTGGACAGCGTATTCACGGCTTATGGCCTGGTTCAGCTGCACACTTTACCATAGCTAGACGGGAGCCCCGATGGGAAGATTGGGAGTACGAACGCGAACACAAGGGCAATCGCTTCGCCTATTTTGGGAATGGGTACACTGAGGCAGAGCTCGATGAATCGACTGACTTGACCTCATATCTCAAGGCGCCTGGCCAGGAAGTAGATTTGAGGGATCTTCATGAGCGCTGGTGGGATGTGCCGGGTGCAGAGAGGAAACCATAGATACTCGTATTGAGCTGTTCGAATAGATGAGTGCATACTCGCTCGCCCACAGACAATCACTCGCAAATTGGCCCGCTCCAACAGGTTCGTGGTTCCTCGCTACAAGTCGCACGCTTTTCGAATGTCACATCGTGCACTGTGGTTCACGATCTTGGATGAAGATTGCGTAATTACGCTACTGTTCTTACCGCGGTTTCGTCAGTGCCCACTAGGCCTTATTTCGTACCCACGCCGACCGTTGAGGATGACTGCCCCATA